CGGCCATATGGGAGTCCAGCACCTTAACTACCATGCCACCTGCTGGCCCTATATATATATTTTTTAAAATTTAACTTTATTTATCTTATTTAATTATGTTAATTTGACCAGAGAAGGACAGAATGAAAGAGAGAGAGAGAGAGAAAGCAAGCCACTAGGTTCAGGACTCGAACCGTAGTGGGCCATGTGGGAATCTAGCACCTTTAACCACCACACCATCTGCCGGCCCCAGGCTTCATTTTTAAAGGGCCCCTGGTAGGGCCGGCAGGTTACGTGGTGGTTAAAGTGGCTGGACTCCCACATGGCTGACTGTGGTTCAAGTCCCAGATCTGGCAGCTTACTTTCTTTTCTTTTCCCTTTTTTTAAAAATATTTATTTTATTTATTCATTCATTTCTTTTTTAATTTGACCAGAGAGAGACAGGGTGAGAGTGAGAGAGAGAGGAAGTGGGAAAACAAGTCATCAGATTCAGGACTTGAACCCTGGTTGGTCATGTGGGAGCGTCCAGCGCCTTAACCACCACGCCACCTGCTGGTCCCCTGGCAGCTTACTTTCTCACTTTCCTTCTCTCTCTCTCTCTCTCTCTCTGGTCAACCTCAAAAATAAAAATAAAAAATAAAATAATGACAATGAATAAAAATAAATTGTTAAAAAAAAAAGTCCCCTGGCTGCCTCGTGGGTGATAGATCAGAGGGTGAGGAGGCAACTGGCCTCACAGCTCACCAAGCCCCCCAGTCCCCAAGTGTTGGCATCATTCTTGCTTTTCCTTTTCTCACCTCCCCTTACTTTGTTCCTCAGGTGATCCTGTTGGCAGTATTGGGTTTTGTTTGTTTGTTTGTTTTTAATTTGCCCGAGTGCTTGTACACTCACTGGAGAGAGGTAAAATGAGAAAGCATCCCCTGTGAGGGATGGTCACATAATTCCCTCTCCTCCATCTCTCCTTCCTCTCAGGATTTTGGGCACACGTGCACACACACCTGGCACAGTTTGGAAGCCAACGGGTCAGGGACTCAAACTGTGTAGTCGGCCACGTAGGATTCAGCTCCTTAACCTCCACACTACCGACTAGTCCGGCTGGACCTTTGGGATACATCCTAAATCCCACTTCCCAGCCCTTTCTCGCCCAGCACGCCGATCTATCCACCTTCCTCTCTTGCCTGGACTATTCCAAGAACCTCTTCACTGATGTCCTCGTCCTCATCCCCAGCCCGCAGCACCCTGTGACCTGGGTCACATCCCTCCCCTGCTCAGACCCCTTTGGTGAACCTTGTCTCACTCCGAATAATGGCCACAGTCTCACTATGCATCACAAAGCTCTGCAGGGTCTGGCTGATACCTCCTCCCCTTTCCCCTCTCCACTGCAGTCACACCGGCCCCACCAGGCATGCCCCCTCCTGGAGCCTTTGCATATGCTGTGCTGTTACCCAGGGCTGGACACGCTATTCCCCTGGATGTCTACATGGCTCACTTCCTTCCCTCGTTTTGCCATTTGATCCAATGTCACCATCTGAGTGAAGCTTTTTGATCACCTCCTTTCTAAAATTGTCCCCGCCCCCACCTTACCTGGGTCTGTTTTTCTCCAGAGCAGTTACCACCACCTGACATACCCTATAATTTGCTTATTTACTGTGTTCATTGTCTAGGACGTTAGCTTCACAAAGGGCAGGAATTTTTGTCTGCCACGTTCTCCACTGTGTCCCCAGTTCCTAGAACAGGGCCTAGGACAGAGGACGGGCTCAGAATGGGGGATGAGATGGGGCTGGGTTTCCCAGGGCTTTAACTACCCATCCGAGGAGCGGAACTAGAGCTGAGGACACTGGAAAACCTATGGAGGGGGAGAAAAATACTTCCAGCTGCCAGGCAGAAGGGGACCTGGAGGGGAAGAAAGAAGGCCTGGGGCTCAGAGAGGAGGATGGTAGTGTCATGGAGAGGGAAGGCAGGAAGTGTCCCTGACAAGGCCCAGGGCGACCTGGGAACTGGAGGAGCAGTGGACCACCCCGACATGGGGACATGGAGGAAGAGACCAGAGAAGAAAATCAGCAGAGGCCAGATCCAAAGGGCCCTGAAGAAGTTATATGGGGACCAGCAGTTAGCGTAATGGCTATGTCGCTGGACTCCCAAGCAGTCGACCGCGGTTCACGTCCCAGACCCAGTGGCTTAAAACTCATGCCGGGTGCGTGTGTGTGCGTGCCCAAGATCCCGAGAGGAGAACGGAGGAGAAGGGATTGGGGTGTGGCCATCCCCCCTGGGGGGTGATTTCTTGCTTTCTGTCTGTCTCTGAGGAGCGCACGCGCCCTATAGCAAAAACCTCTCCAAAAAAAAAAAAGTTATATGGAGGGCACTGGGGAGCCATGGAAGGATGTTGAGCAGAATAACAGATTTAGAAAAATCCCTTCAGCTGTTGTGTGTGGGGGGGATCAGGGAGTGGGAGCCCAGAGAGGAGGTTGTGGCAACTCAGAGGATAAAGGACTAGGCCAGGGTTTCCAGTGGGTATCAGCCAGGTGGGAATCCAGGAGTCCTCCCTTCCCCTCCTCTCTCTCCAGGATGGCCCCGGCTCCATCTCCAGGTCTGGTCCCAGGACAGCTTTGGCCGCTGCCAGCTTGCAGGCTATGGCTTTTGCCATGTGCCCAGCAGCCCCGGCACTCACCAGCTGGACTGTCCCACGTGGCGGCCCCTGGGCAGCTGGCGTGAGCAGCTAGCACGTGCCTTTGTGGGCGGTGGGCCACAGCTGCTGCATTGGGACACCATCTACAGTGGGGCTGACCGCTACCGCCTGCACACGGCCGCGGGAGGCACTGTGCACCTCGAACTCGGCCTGCTGCTGCGAAACTTTGACCGCTATGGCGTTGAGTGCTGATGGACCCTGCCTCCAATGGCCGCCCCCACCCACCGCTGGACACCCGTGAGGGGCAGGATTGCACAGTGGTCAAGAGCATGGGATCTAGAGGTTGCCGGTCTGACCGGCCAGGCGTGGGACTACTTCTCTCCGCAGGACTCGAGGCTTCCTTATCTGTAAAATGGGACAGTAAATGCGTGGGCCCCTGGGATGGTGGGTGAGAGGAGGCTGCTTAGCCATGGGAGGTGCGCAATAAAGGACAGCAGTTCTTACAGGTGTCCGTGCCTACCTGACCCCTCCACTTGCCGGATGTCCCGTCGCCCTGTCTGTACTGACACCCACCTCCTCAGTCCCCCATCTTCCTCTCCCAGCCTCTCACTCTGCTTCCGGGGCCCCCTCCCAGACCCTCTTACCCTGTTTCCTGAGTCCCCAGTCTCTGCGCCCGAGGGCCCTGTCAGGTCCTTATCTCTCCGTGACCCCAAAGGGCCTCCAAAGCCACAGCGCATCTTGGTCACCTGCTTTGGTCGCGCTCGGACGCCAGGGGGCAGCACGCGGCTCGCGGGGCGGGGCCGGGGTGCCCGCCCCCTCCCCCCCAGGTCTGAAAGGACCCCCCTCGGAGCCCGCCCACGCGAGATGAGGACGGTAGC